CCAGAGTTAGTTTCTTTTTGACGTGCCTCTACCACTGTTATTCAGATTTATGGCTTTGGCCACCCGTACATTTAAAAGGATTGCTCATAATTTGAGAGTCTCTAGACCAAATCGGGAGAGTTGGCAGGTATGCTTACTAACTGCATTTCTTCAGATGAAATTTACTGGTTTGTCCAGAGAACTCATTTGAATTTCTAAATATGATGAACCTACTGAGCTTAACCCTTCATAAAGAGGTCCTCATATATGCAGTTGGGTATAAGAGACAACACCGATATGCCTACATCAAAACAACGGTTGATCAGAAATTGAGAACATGATAGCCTGCTAATAAGAAACTTCTTATACAAAGGACAAAACTCTCTAATAAGTCCGTTGAACTGAAGTTTAAATTTTATTAAATATAGTTATATCGTTGATTATATTTTTATTACTTAAATAGTGGCTAATTACCACATATCAGTCAGGAACATCACTGCTGACACCATGTCTCCAACAATAACTCTCTTTTATTTTGTCGCGGCTCTCTTGATGGAAACACCAAGTAACTGAATAAATTATTGCATGCTTGTACCAAAGACAATGTTTCACACAGTTTTTCAGCCAGCTTCTCTCATCACTGATCAAGTGTGCTTGTAATGCTATGTATCAAGCAAGCTAGCAAATGCTTGCGACAGTATGCAGAATTTTAACGATGGAGGCAGAAATGTTATAGGCCCGTGTGCTCAGATTTGAGTGCACGTTAAAGAAACCCAGGTGGTCTAAATTTGTGCAGCCCTCTATTACGGCGTCTCTCATAATCATATGGTGGTTTCGGAACATTAAACGCCACATATCAATCAGTATGCAGAATTGTTTGCCACAGCAATAAAACATTAGGGCTTACCATAGAATAAACATTCGCTAACACTATATCAGCTAGTAGGATGTTATACTATTCGAAGGAATTTCAAACAGGTGATGCGCAAAATCAAGGAAACTTTATATTTTTTGCAGGTCAGGTCCACACTTGATTATGCATGCATAGTATGGGACCCTCACCAAGACTACCTTATAAATAAAATAGAAAAACTTCATAATTAAGCCTCAAGTTTTGTTTTAAATAATTATAGCCCCTATGCCAGCGTTTCACAAATGAAGGCCACTTTGCGATGAGATCTGCTACCTGTACGTAAACTGTTGAACCAGATATATTACTTTAACACAGGAATCAATCACCATAGCTACCTTGTTCAACCCCCCTACACATCTACTTGCTGTGACAATAGCAAGGCAATAGCAAAAATATTTCCACCTTCAAATGCAGATCCAATACTTTTTTTCACTAATTCTTTCCACCAACAATAAGAGAGTTGGTTATTATAACAAATAATGACTTACGGTACTTTTTTCTACGCTGCGAAATTCTTCTGGGATTATGTATTTTATGTGTGTATGAAAATGTATTTTGTGATGCACTAATAAGTTCTGATGAAGGTGGCAGTGTTTTTTTGTATGTGCATTATGTATTTTGCAACAAATTCCTTTGTACTGACTGCCTTTTGTCCCCCCCCCCCTACGTAATGACTATATGGCAATGTAGGTACTCTGTAAATAAAAAAAAACACTGAGCTAATCTCCACAGGCGCTACAAACATGGCACTTCTGCTCTCATAGAAAAGAAATGATTAGTACATAGTTTGCCCAAACTTCTTATTGTAGTCTCAAACAGGTTTGAGACTGCAAATGGACAAATCCTGAACAAAACCTAGTGTTAAAAAGGCTACAATTTGGTGTACTTGTACAAGCGTGCCGCATTTCATTGCCTCTTCGGCTTAGAAAAAAGTTCTGCAAACCATAAGCCAAATGAGGGCAGTGTAACAAAGTCACAACAATGTCTCAAGCCACAACCACCAAGTTCAGACATGTCTGTAAGCTAATCATCATTCTTGTGATAGCTGAGTGATGAAAAAAGCCACAGCTCCGGTAGGTATCAGTGAAGTAAGAACCTACAGTATAATCTTGTTAAACTGAACCGGAAAAGACTGATGATACCTATATGTTTCATTTCAAGGGCCAGTAAACAACCTCGAGGTCCGAAAATTGTCATAGTTTTGCTATGTGAATATCCTGTCGCAAGAAGTTTGCGAATACATGTTATAATAAAAAAGTTACAAGTGTTGAAACATCTTTTTTAGCTGGTTTCAAATTTTTTGCTGCCTCGCTATGCTTCCCCACCATAGGCGTAGCCCGTCGTCATGACTCTGCCTTTTTTTGGCAACGTGACACGACGTCGGCAATACATGACTGTCGCGCAGCCACAGCCCGATCAGGGCATCCCGGACATGAGCATGTGTCATGGCAGCGTGGGGTGGAAACGCAGTTCGTAAAGCACCCTTCCCCTAGTGGTAAAGTAGCAAGACGCCAATTTATAATGAAGGCTTTCGTTCTGGCAATACCGCTTCTTTTGGAAGTCTTGGGCTCTACAAAATGGCACAAGGCAGCACAGGAAAATGAAAAAGCGAACCGCGCAGTCGAAACTGCATCACTGCAGGGCAACAGCCCCATTTCGTATGGCAAAAGCCCAACTGACAAGCTCAGTGGTACGTCAAGTTGCCCATGGTCCCACTTGCATCAATACGCATACAAGGGGGATTGGTCAGATTGAAAGAGTCACTAGAATAGTTTTTTGAAACGGAGGATTTGTGCGGTGTGCAGCACTTTAATATTTGGAAAATGTGATCGCCGCAGTGTACTGTACGAATCGGCGAGCTTGTTTGGAGGGCGAGCCTGTCTACTGGCCCTTCAAGACGAGTTTTACCGTATTTACTCTCATAATCGGCGCGCTTACATAATAGGCCCACCCCTAGTTTGGTCACAGAAAATTCGATTTGTTTAATTCCACACATAATAGGTGCACCCCGAACTTGGCCATGATAATAAACGATTCTACCACCCAGCGGTTCAGTCGGAACGCGGTCCCCGTACCCTGAAGAAAAAAAGAAGGCAAATCAATGAGCAAATAAAAAAAAATCTAAGTACAACGACCTAACCAACGTGTTTGTCGAAATAAAACTTGAAAAAAAAAAAAAAGCGTCCATGAGCGGAAAAAAAAAAAACGGCTGTGCCATCAATTACTGATACCCCCCAAATCGCTGCGCTCCATGGAGGTCACTTGTACAACGCCGGGGGCTCGATCCCCATCACCATCATCAGAGAAAAAGAAAGAAGTGCCACTTTGTAAACGGTGTGTGTATGTTGTGGTCGTGTATTGACTTTGGTTCCACCATAGGGAAGTACGCAAGCTACACGGCTGGATTTAAACTGAAGGCAGTGCAGTACATGCTCGAGCACGGCATCAGGGCTGCAAGCAGGCATTTCGGTGTGGAGAAACCTGTATTCGGTACTGAAGGGATCAAGAAGGAAGACAAGGCGACAACGAAGACACGACGGGCTTTCCACGGGGCCAAGGCCGGCAGGTATTCGAACGAAGAGCAACTGGTCCGGCATATACGGGAGCTACGACAAAGACGGCTGTGCTGTGTCATTGTCTATTGTGCGGACTGAGGCACGCAGAATAACCCGAGCCCAGCGCATCGAAGCAAAAGAGTTTAAAGGCAGCTCCCGATGGACAACTAGTTTCATGCAGCGCCATGGCCTTGCAATGCGAAGGCGGACCACTTTGTGTCCTCATATGCCCGCAGCATATGAGGACAAAGTGGTGGACTTCCATTATTTCGTTATAAAGCTCTAACAGCAGAAAGACTTCATTTTGTCCCAAATCGGCAATGCTGATCAAACGCTCCTTTGCTTTGATATGCCACGGAACACGACAGTGGAGGAGAAAGGTGCACGGAGTGCCATCGTCAGAAAGTCTGGCGCTGGTAAACAACGATGCACCGAAATGCTGGCAGTGACAGCGGATGGGCACAAGCTACCGCCTTATATTATTTTTAAACGTAAGGCGCTCCCAAAGGCAAATTTCCTTCAAGGCATCTACGTCAGAGCCTAGAAAAAAGGCTGGATGAGCGCGGAACTCATAGTGGATTGGGTGAAAACAGTCTGGGGTCGGCGCCCGGGGGGTCTGTTGTTCCCGTCCATGCTTGTCCTAGACAGTTTTGTGGGCACCTAGTAGACCGTGGACATGATGAGCTACAGGAGCTGCGCACAGATTTGGCAGTGATTCCGGGCGGCCTCACATCGATACTGCAGCCTTTGGATGTGTCCTTGCATAAGCCTTTCAAGGACAATGTTCGAAAGCTGTACACCACCTGGATGGCTGGAGGACAACATCAGCTGACTCCAAGTGGTAAGATTAAGAGGCCGCCTGAGGAAATGCTGTGCGCTTGGATTGTGAAAGCATGGCAGGCGATCTCCGAAGAAGTTGTCAGGAAAAGCTTCAAGAAGACGGGTATCTCGAAAGCACTGGATGCGAGTGAGGATGACATGCTGTGGGGTGTGGATGATTGGGACAACGAAAACGAATCCCCGCTCGGCGAGGATGAATGTGAGCTCTCCGACTCGGACTCCGAATAGGAAAAAGGAGGAACACCTGCGACTTTTGTGTAAATAAATTTATGTGCGAGTGTGCAGTTAATGGCTCTCCCTTGTTCATTAAAAGGTACACAGGTATGTTTGTAATGCTGAATTAATTGGTAAATGATAAAGGTTGCCTTTTACTTGACAAATGTGCAGATTTAAAGCGCGAGAACCGAGTCGAAAAAATGTTCCGAGAAATCTACCTTGCGTAATTGGCACACCCCGAAATTCGAGCCGGATTTTCTGAAAAAGAAGTGTGCCTATTATGCGAGTAAATATGGTATTTACTGCAGATGTATGGGCATGCAGCATTCAAAAGCAACTAAATGAGAGGCCATTGATCCAGTTTAGTAAGCAGCAATTCCACTAAAGCATTTACTATTCGCTTAGATTCTACTACTGGATAGCACATCACACATCGCTACAATGCTAACTCAGGACACACCCAAAGTGTCATTGAAGCAAGGCGCTTTCATCCTTACTTGGTCCCTTTTGACTCTATGGTGTCCATCTGTTCCACAAGAAAGTCCAGAAAGGCCGCTTTGTTTAGGGGTACCTGGGCATCCAATGCAACAGCACGGTGCACCGCCAAGCATTGAAGGATGGCTCCGTTATAGCCATTCTTGTGAGTGTGCGTGATGCGTGCCTGTTTTTCAGCAACCTAAACAGCAGTAGACAACAAAATTATTCTAACTAATTCACTAACATTATGGTTTCTACCACAGCATAAGAGGCTTGAAGAAGCGTGCAACGCTTTCTCGAACATGAATAAACTTGCATAGTTGCCACAAAATGCGTTCAATAAGTGACTGTACCTAATATGTCTGCACTAAACAAAAGTTATATGCTTTGTCAAAGGTGCGACATGTGCAGATTAAGTGGCAACGCCACCTTGTTGCAGCATAGAAGTATTGAATTGTCAGCAGGAGGAATGACAAGAATAACTCTACAAAGCAATCAAACAACCGTTGGGCTTTGAAGTCTTAGAACCAAAACTGGCTAATATAACAAAGTATATTGAGACTCCAAAAGATTTCTTAAAACACCAAATTCTTCAATGTGTCACAAAATTTATTAACATTGCAAATTGGGTGAGTTGGTGATAGTTCTTGTTTACTTATGAAGCAGCGCACGGAGACAAGCTCAAAAGGAGCGAAAGGTACACCGCTGCACTCGCAACTACATAGTTTATTTTACAGAAAGAACATGGTTAATATACAACATGATAATGTACCGCGTACTATAATGACGATCAAGTTATAGCATATTTTTAAAAAAGCACACTTCACAATCGTTTAAACTAATCAATACTTGGCTAATGCAGTTATATTTTCTTTTAGCGATGTGGAATGCCTCGATAACTTCTCTGGTCACCTGATACTTGTGATTAGAAAGTATTTCAGACTCGGGGAACAGCGGGGAACAGCCACAATCTAAGCAATGGAGTCTAATGTGAGAGTAAGCATTGCTAATGCTCTCTTGTGCTCAGTAAGCCTTGTGTTTACACACCGGCCAGTTTGGTCAATGTACATCTTTCCACAAGACATGGGTACACAATATGCCACCGTAGTTCTACACTCAACAAATGTAAAAACATGCTTAATGGAGCACCGAAATCTATCCTGTTTTGCCGATCGCTTTCGTTCCAGCCTGGCACATACTTTTCCGAGTTTGTTTGGCACAGAAAAAACAACACGTAGACTGTATCTGCTGCCTAGTTGGTTCGGCATGTGCGCAGGAGTTTATCTATGAACCAGTCTCAAAAAGATAGGGATTCTGAAGAGATTAAAAAGAAATGTGTCTCAATACGAGCATGGAATCGGCATCGCAGAAGCGATAACCTTCACATGGTTATTACTGGTTTTGCAGGTCAACAGAATATCCACAGCGAAAAATTCTGATGGCAGCTGGGATTCGAGTACGCTCGGTCGTGACAACAAACTGGAAAACACCACTTCCACGATTTTCCAAGCTGATCGTCTGACACAAACTGCCGCGGATTTCAGTGAAAGTGCGGAGCCGGCTTATGAACACTGGTTGAACTGCATCCTTATCACTGGACCACAAAAACCAGCGACTGTCATGGACACAGTCGGGCCTGGAATCTGCACCGCGGAAGCGATGTGCTTCACGTGGTTATTACTGCCGTTGCACGTTGGTAATATGACTTTTTCATCTCGGTCTTTTGTTTATGTTTTGCCAATTCCATGCCCGATACTGTTTGAGTGTATCTTGTCGAATTCTTGTCCTGAGCGAGTGCCGCGTCATCCCCGGCGTTTTCGCTTAGTGCGATGTTTTTCATTCCATTTTTTGTTGCTATTCTAGTGTAGTGACCTTGAACTAAATCCAGGACCCTCGTCTGAGGTGACACTTGCTCAGCCTTTGGAAAGCCAAAGTGTAGTTACAGCGAAAGTACCAGCTATCGAGGAAGCACAGACACAGCAGACGCATGTTATAAGTGACCTTGGCTTGCAAATTCAGACATTAGAGTTAAAGTTGCATTGCCTTGACGATTTAGCGGTCTCAGTTAGGGAATGTAGAAATATGAAAGGCAGCAACAGGCAATAAAGACACTCCTGTTGAAAATTGAAGACCTACAGAATCGTAGCCGACGTTGCAACTTGCTCTTTTACGGAGTGGATGACAAGAAAGGTCAAGAGTCTGGTGAAGAATCGAAAGGTTGTGTCCGTAAAATTTGTCAGAGTAAACTAGGAATGCAGTCTGTTTCAATCGAACGAGCCCACAGACTCGGAAAGTTTCAGTCGGAAAAAAACCGTCCTTTGATTGCTAATTTCACCTTGTTTAAAGAAAAGCAACAAATTCTGCGCAGCGCTATAAAGCTAAAAGGAAGTGACACTTGCATTTCGGAGGACATTTAGATTCTAAAACGATGAGGACAAAATGAAATTATTTATGGCAAGAAAGAAGGTGATAAAGTGAGCCTTCGATTTGATACTACTCTGATCATGAACGGGCAGAAGTACGTGTACGGCGATGGCGCGAAACAAGTTATACCCCTAACTTGACCGTCACGGGGAGAGGCTGTAGAGCTTTCTTTTCTTCTGGTCAATTGTAGAAGTATTAAAGATAAACTATATAATCACAATAGCTTGATTAAGACTTTAAAGCCAACTGTAACCCTAGAAAATGAATCGTGGTTAGATGAAAATATTACTGTCAATGAAGTATTTCCTGACGGCTTCACAGCCTATAGCAAGGATAAGAATTCTCACGCAGGAGGTGTGTTCATTTTAGTAGATAGTATAGTTCCTTCATGCTCGGTCAACGTGGATGTAGGCGATTGCGAGGCAGTATTCTGCAAGCTTATGCTGCGAAATAGCAAAGTATTAACAGCATGTAGATTTTACGGACCACCAGGCTCCTCCATCAGCGCATTATTACAGCTTACAGCAGTTATCGAAACAGTGCAGGCTGATACAATAGTAATCGGCGGTGACTTCAACTCTCCTCTCGACTGGTGCCAACAGCCTAATATTGTTACCACAACAGATAGCTGCAGTCAAGAAATGAAAAATTTAATAGATTATTTCGCATTTGAACAAACTGCATCACAACCGACACGGGGAGAAAACATTTTAGATTTGGTACTCACAAACCAACCGGAACTTGTTTCATGAACTGTTGTGCCTGGCATAAGTGATCCTAATGCTGTGGTGTGCGAATTGAGTGTTGACTATGTGAACACCATAACTGGTCCTAATAGGCAAATATTCAATTTTGAGAATGCTAATGTTGCTCATATTAATGAGGCCCAGGATTCCTACCTGACGGTTTTTTAGACACCAGCTTAGACTGAAAGTGTAGCTAAGTTGTGGACATCATTTAAGCGAAAAATGGCAGAACTAAAACAGCTGTTTATCCCATTCTGGACATTATCCCCAAGGTGTGCCAAAAGCAAACTTTGATTTACCAAATCACTGTACAGACTAACACAGAAGAGGCAGTGATGCTATCAGATTTTTCTAATGGTACCCACAGATGAGAACAAAAGGAAATTGTAGAATATTACATGAGTTTAAGCTCGCTATTCGTATGACAAAAGATTATTACTCTGGTACTTTGCACTTTAGATTACAGGAAAATCCCAAAGAATTATGGAAGCATATAAAATGAAATGGTAACGACAACGTAGCTGTTCCATTGTTGGTTATAGGCGATAACACTGTAAGTGATGACATTGCAAAGGTCGAAAGCTTTAATCAGTACTTCTGCTCCGTCTTCACCCCAGTGATAAGAAACAACGAAAACAGGGATATCAGCAGAAGTGACATAGGTGAGATGGATAGCATCAATCTTTCCACACGTGGCATTGAAGCATTGCTGCAAGGGTTAAATGCATCAAAGGCTTGTGGTCCTGATGGCCTTCCAAATCGTTACTTACAGCTTTGTGCAACATCAGTGGCATCATATTTAAAAATAATTTATGACAAATACCTGGAAGAGTCTTTTCTTCCGGATGACTGGAAAGTTGGGGCTGTTGTTCCGATCTATAAGTCAAGTGCCCATAGTGATGTAGCAGTAACTATAGAGCAGTGTCTCTGACGAAGTTTCTTGAATGATTTTAGAGCATATTTTGTATACCTCTGTTGTGGCACATATTAATGAGGGTTGTTTGTTTAACTCAGCACAGCACGGGTTTCAGAAAGAACTGTCTTGTGTTACACAGCTAACAAAATTTACACATGACATAGCAAAAGCTCTAGATCATCAGCTTTTCATAGTTCCTAGATTTTCAGAAGGCGTTCGACACTGTGCCCTATGCTTCATAAGTAAAAAAACTTGAATTTTACAATATACACCCGCAGATAATTTCTTGGCTAAGATCGTACCTAACATTACGAAAGCAGATTGTCATGGTTAACAGAGCTCAATCTCGAATCGCAAATGTCACATCCGGTGTACCTCAAGGGTCTGTGCTGGGGCCACTATTATTTCTTTTATACGTAAATGATATACCTGATGGTAACCAATCCCAAATGCGTTTATTTACCAATTATTGTGTGTTACATAGAGAAATGAAAAGTATGGACGATGAAGTTGCGCTTCAACAAGACCTGAACAGAATTGGCGAATGGTGTGCAAAATGGCATATGAAGTTAAATTTAAATAAAACAGTTTTTGTGACATTTAAGGAAAAAGAATCCACATGTGAGTGGTTATCATATGAATGGTGTAAGCTTAAAACATGTATCTGAATACAAATATCTCCATGTTTATTTTACGTCTCAGCTAAGGTGGCAGAGCAAGTTGATTACGTCGCAGCAAATGCTAGGAAAGTGCTGAAATTTTGCGATGAAATGTGGAATATTTTCCTGCTGCTACTAAAGATTTATTGTTCAAGACCAATGTTAGACCCATTCTTGAATATGCCTGCACTGTTTGGGACCCTCCAGCTAAGCGAGACATTAATAAATTGGAAAAGATCCAGGATTTAGCTGCTCGGTTTGTATTGGGAATTTACAGTAGAGATATTGGCGTGGCAAGACTGAAAGACAGATTAAATTGGGAATGCTTATGGAACCGTCGAAACAAATTGCGACTGAAGTTCGTTCACGCTATTTATCATTGTCATGTCGCAATCGATAAAGCGAAATATTTACTTGCACCATACTATGCCTCACACCGCGTTGACCATAGGTTCAAGATAAGAGAAATAGCAAGCAAGACTGACGTATTTCAAAATGATTTTACCAAAACAATAAGAGAATGGAACCAACTGCCTTCTAGCATTGCCTATACCATCTCCAATGATTTGTTCGATTCTATGTTAGAATGAATATGTTGCATTTTTCTTGAGAGTGTTGCATTTTTCATTAATATATGTATTTGTGTTGCAGATTGTAATTGAGGCAACCGATTATTTATTTGGCTGACAATGTATCTTTTTTGTATTCTACTTCTTGTAAATGCTCCCCCCTTGTAATGCCAATTGGTGCTGTAGGTAATGAAATAAATAAATACGGTATGCACACAAAGTATCACATATACTATAGAGTTCAGGCAGCAGATAAGACCTACATGTTGCTTTTTCTGCACCAAATGAACTCAGAAGAGTCTGTGTCAGGCTGGTTCGAAAGGGATGGGCAAAACAGGATAGATTTCGTTGCTCCGTTAAGCATGTTTCTACATTTTTTATAGTGTAGAACTGCGGTGGTATATTCTGTACCCATGTCTTGTGGAAAGTACATCGACATAACTGGCCGGTGCGTAAACACAAGGCTTACTGAGCACAAGAGAGCGTTAGCAAGTAATGCTACATTAGACAGCTCAGCCAGTGTCTCATTGCTTAGATTGTAGCTGCTCCTCGCTGTTCCCCGAGGCTTGATCATCATTGTAACACGTGGTACACTATCATGTTGTATATTAACCATGTTCTTACTGCAAAATAAACTAGTTTCGAGTGTAGCGGTGTCCCTTTTATTTCTTTTGTGCTTGTCTCTGTGCGCTGCTTCATAAGTAAACATGTCACAAAATTGTTGCACATAGGTATTCTTGTATTTACCACCCATAAGATGTAAATACCATAGCCAAAATTCAATCCTGCTGCTTTCTCTTTGACTATTTTACAGATGGGTTTGAGTGCCGCCATACTGGGCTGTTAACTTTTGTGTTTTGAATCTTAAACAACTAAACAAACAGTATTGCAGCAGACATGTGCACGTTAAAAGAGTTGGATTGGTGCATACGATGTTTCATGGCCTTATTAATTCATGTCGCAATATGCAAAAACAAGAAAATATAAGCTTCACAGCCCAAAATGCCGGTGCTCATACGTCCCACGAAAAATAGACTATAGCAGTGCAAAGTTGTAGTAACTAGCTGACCATATTAGGATCAGTGTTTTAGTAACAGTGCCTTTTCAAATGCTAATGCCTTTCGTGCTGTTCAAACTTGGTGGGTGGTATATATATTGTCACGGGATCATGACGATTGATATGTGGGGTTTAACGTCCCAAAACCACCATATGATTATGAGAGACACAGACTCATGACGAGGACGAAGGGAGCAGTCAATGTCTTCAAGGTGAAACTGTTAATTTGGTCAAACTTGTGGCCACATAATTGAAACTCAAATTACAGCAAGCAATGCACGCCGCACACTGATCAGCACACAAGGCTCCGGTTGTCGAAAAAAGTGAGAAGCGGTGAAGTACCGTATTTATTCGATTCTACCGCGCCCTCGATTGTAACGCGCACCCGATTTCGACCGCGGAAAGAAAAAAAAAAACGTAAGACATCGATTGCGACGCGCACCCACTTTTTTCGCTGGCCCGCACGATCACGCCACTCGAAAAAAACGACTCCTTTCGAGAGCGTCTTCCATTTAAATATGAGGTACGGGCGAAGCTTGTGCCCATCTGATGTGTAACAGAGCATTGCCGTCGCTGTAGTTTTACCGTGGACCGATGTCAGCACGCGAACTTGCTTCGCCCCCTTCTTCTCGACGGTTGTGGTGCCAGGCATGTCGAAGTAAAGAGGCGTCGGATCGGCATTCATGATTTGCCCAAGCAGGTAGCCGTTGTTGCGCCGCAAGTTTAGGACGAACCTCTGAAAACTGTGAAGCTTTTCATCGTACTCCTCCGCAAAACTTTTCGCATATGCATGTTCCCCTTCGGAGGGAAAAGCCTTTCCTCTTCATAAAGTTAGTTAGCCAGCACCTGCTCGCTCTAAACTGGCTCCGCATTAGACCTTTTTCTAAGACTAATTGCATAGCACGCACTTGGAGCAGTTTTGTCGTCACGGGCCGCTGTGCCGCTCGCTGCTCAAGCACATACTCGCCGAGCAGCTCTTTAATTTGCGGAAACCGACCCTGCTGTGGTCCACTGAAGCCTTTGCGTGAAGCTTTGCTGTCGACAATCTTCTGCTTTTGTTTCCGCCGGTCCCGCACGCACGTTTCGGAAACTCCGAACGACCACGATGCGGCCCGATTTCCGTTCGTTTCTGCACACGCGATGACTTTTCTTTTAAAAGCGGCATCGTGGTGCACTCGAGTTTTTGGAGTCGGCCCTTCCTCGCCGTCAATGCTAATGCACTACTAGATGACGAACTCCTCAGCACACATACGAAGTGCCGCACATGGGAAACACATAGGCAGAAATGGCCAGCGCGCCATGCCGACGCACGTAGGGGGCGGCCATTTTGGAATTGCCAATGGCAATAGATTGACCGTAATTTTTTTTTTCGTACTCGATTCTAACGCGCATGCGATTTATGAACTCGCTTAAGCGGAAAAAAGATGCGCGTTAGATTTGAGTAACTGCGGTACGTTGGCATTTATACATGTACCGTTCAATACTCCGGTCTTATCAGAAGTGGCCATGCAAGTTCCAGAATAATCTGCAATGTTTGCATTTTGTGCTTCATTGCATCAAAATGTTCCAGGATTATCTTGAGGTTTCTTAGCTAATCGGCATGGTGTGCGCAAGGCAACCTTTACATGTGTAATTGGGCGATAACAAAACTTGAAAAAAAAAAAAAAAGAAACGAGTGTGGCAATTGATATTTGAGCATGCTTGGAACCCCTAAGGGTCCATTTGTTATCATCCTGAGACATTTTTGAAATACCTTACTGTAGTACACATATTTTATAATGCTATGAAGAATACTTAGCATCAAACAACATAGCAGGTTCAATGTCAGCCATGATGGCTATATTCTGATGCAATACTTGCCAACTGACCAATAAAACACTAAGCGGCCTTCATTGATTTTGTTTTTTTTTTCTAAGGTAGTAACCAGGAAAAGAATTTATGGCAAAAATTTCTCATTATGCAAGCAGGCCAAAATACTGAATGTTAGTGCAGCTGATACAGAAAACTATAGAAAAATGGCACAAATTGCACAGTTGGACAACCATTGAATAAAGAACAGAGCTGGCTATCGGCACGTCAAAAAGGGGTACCGATGGGAGCTACAAATTTTGTTTCACTGCACAGTACTGTCTTGTGTGCTAGTTATTAACACAGGAAACCAGCAGCAGCTCTCCCCATGAGAAAACTCCAAAAGGATTTGATGGAAATTATTCTCTCCACTATTCTAAAATGTACAGGCCAAGTGAGAACTCAGCTGCAACTATTTCCATAGAGTAAACTAGTGCCTAGCAAACGTGAAGCAACCATCAATTATGGTGCAATTATTAAACTTCCCTTAATAAACTGACAGGTTTAAGAACATACTAATTGAACTCACAGATATAATTTCTGCCATATTCTTGTGACAGAACAATGCAACAGGGGCCACCCTCATTGCACCACCATTTCCATACGAGCCTGTGCCTTCAAACTGGCTTTTGGCAGGTCCAAAAGGATCTTCGAAGTTGCCTTTCTTGAGTGCGTGGAACACATCAACCACGTTAGGACCATAGCCCCGCTTAGGCTGCTCAAAGTACTCCGAAGTGAACCTGTAAAAAAAAGGTCATATAATAAAAACTATTTTAGGAGCCATTTTTGCTAGCGTAACCAGTCTAAATTGATTAGTTCTAAAAACAAAACTAGTCAAGAGAAACCTTCATGCCTCCTAGCTTACAGGAGCTGTCTATCACTTTAATGAGCTTATTTTGCACTGTGATAGATGGCCTTCCATTGAAAGTGTTTATACAAGCAGTGATCAAAAATCATTGGACAAGGAATGTTGCTGAAGCAGATGTTTCAAAATGGAGACTTGCTTCCATCAGGGCAGCAGCTTCCCAGATGAAAACTAAAACTCTACTCAAAACATTTGCCCCAATAACTTTTTCTGTTATACGATTTTCCCTCAAGTTCTTCATTGTTTAGCTAAACAATCAAAAGTAAATATATACAACTTATATGGCAAGTTTTTCACATCGAGGAAGAAACAAAGAAAACTGTACACTGCACAATTAGCTTTTTTGTTTCAAGAAAGAAAATATTTTTTGAAGTTTGCAATCACCTTCAGTGGGGAACTTCAATAAAGAGGCTGCTGTATGAACAAATTTTCAGGTTGCCGTCTACAGGAATTTTTAAAAATTATTTCCTTTTTTTAACAAAAACATGTACTGATAAAATTTGCCAGATAAGAAAGACTATTTATTGGCTTTTTATTGTGGTACCAAGCCGATTTTCAATTCAAGCACACATGCAATAAGGTGCATCTCAATGTGGGCCATAATTAAGTTCTTAAAGTTGTGATCTGTTCTCAAATATTTACAAACTTCAGTAGTCTGTAAAGATTCTTAATGCAAAAGAAACCTTCCGCAGAGTTAGTATTCATTACTCCGACATTATTACATAACACAATATTCCAAAAAAATGGACATAAAAAATTCTGACAAGATTTTTGGAGCCTTATATGAAAAAAAAAAAAGGCTTTTTATTATCAGGTTTTCAAAACCTTAGGCAAATGCCTTTGCCTAAGTTTCGTATTAAAATGAGAAATGACACTCTTGAGTAAACTTTTAACCCTTTTGTTACCACACCTATTCAAATCGAACTCAGGTGAACGACACTTTGGATCATCAATTTTGGCATGTTGAATTTGTTTCTCGTGTACCGAGTACTTTCTAGTAGGTAGTTAAGCCACTTAACTTTCACAATCAATTTGAATTGATCTGTTTTGGCAACATGGTGATTTCTCACAAATTTTCGCGCAAACCAATGTGCATGTGTTGTTGAGAAAACGCACTTGACTGGCAAACTTGACAGAAGTGCATACCCCTTGTGATTTTTCCACTGTAGCATCAAATTTCAGTAATTAAAAGAGCCTTTGCAAGTTGAATATTATATTAAGGTGTCAGCTTCACAATCTGACACTGTTGAGCAGTAATAATTACCTGAAATTTTTGCCAGCTATCCAATAGAGAGCTTATGCTGGAAGTTAGAGAAAATTTATTAATTAAAAAAGTATTTATGAAGATCCACCGCAGGTATAAACTGTGGAGGTGGCCTCCCCAACCAGTTTCCAGCAGCTTTGGTTTCGCTTGTATTGTTATATCAGACACAGGGCCGCACCATGTGTCAGTAGTCGCTCCGATGGCGTCATTTTCACGCACGCATAGGTGCGTGCCTGTGCTGCAAAAAACATTTGCTGCTCGAAACTGTCTTGCAACTGCACCTGAATTGAATCAGGATGAGCTTAGAGTGCGAAAATGACAACACCTCAGCTTCAAGAGCTAAGGCGACGGTTTTCCCATCAGCCTCATACATCCACAGCTGTTCATGGGTTTGACTAGTTTACGGCCTCAAGTTGTCTTCTCCGTTGCAAGGGTGTAAATGCTGACCTTTGCGCACAACCTTATAACTCCTCTGGTTCCGTGCGAGGTCCTCACGTCAGTGGGAGCGGTGTGCTGGCGCCGGCTGTTGAGCTTCTCCTCACAACAAGAAGGCCACCAAAGCAAATTTAAGCCCTGACTACGGAGCAGCGCGAATCGTTTTAGAACTGCTCGCAATATTGTTTTTCTACATAATACAATGGGCAAGAATGCAAAAAAAATTGTTTGGATGGATATATTAGAACGCCAACCTATGCAGAGTAAAGTGGCTCATGGAAAGAGGCGACATTAGACAAAAATAGCTAAGTTCATTTGACATCTGATTTATAGAAAAATTATTCACATCACAGGCATCCATCTATATTGGAACACATGCAGGTTCTTATAGCAGAACGACAAGAAATTATTGAGAAAATGTTTACGAGTTCACTTGTATCTCACAAAAAACCAAGCAATGCTTCAACACATGGAACAATCAAGGAAGCAGCACCTCTGTTCCGATTTTCATTATTTATGTGAATAGAAACTTTGTACAATATTTATTATTTTTTATGCTGTTGCTGGGTCATTTATTTTCAAAATGTATATTCAGAGTTTTTTGCTTTGAACATTTTTACACATAGTGTTTTTTATTGTACTGTTTAGCAGCTGGCAACCAAAATCTACACACTTTTCACATTTTTATTCATTCCAAAATATTTTCATTGCTCTACAACAAATTTTTTGAAAGAGCATTTCATAGTGCAAAAATTTGGTATACCGCAATGGATGCTGGAATTCTTTTGAAAATCGCAAAAACTATTCTCACAAAACATATAAAAAATAATCGTTTTCGCACGGTAACGAAAAATTTAACAAGCAGCACTGAGGTGTCATCATGGAATTAGAAAGGCTCCCTAGTGACCAAAAATTTCTCTGAAATATTTTAGCAATTCACTGTTTTCAAAGCAATAACAGTACGGTTTTATTCCTTCTTTTTTTAATGCATTTGAAATGGTCATCGCTAAAATTTTTGGGACGTTTGTTATAGCTTGATTACATTATAACAAAGTGGTACTACGTCGTTTAAACATAACTTTCACAGACAAGTGAAAAAAATGTCTCAATGTATATAAGGCACACTTGTTTCCGTCAATATGACACTATCTTCTCAAATCCACCACACTTTATTCTGAGTGGTAGACAGCCCCTTGGACGACTTTTTTTTTTTTTTCTTTTTGAAGAGGGCTAGAAACAAAATAAAGAAAAAAGCTCTTTCATGGCTCGGTCCAATCGAAAACAGCGGGGAAGCACTGCACGTGGGCACGCTGCCCTTGCGGAGATCTAGAAGTAAAGCCGATATAACGTAGTTATCACCTTTGGGCAAGGTCACTCGCATGGAATCCCTTCTTTTCGATGAGAGACGTCGCCAGACACCTTGTCATTGCCGTGTCATCGGTGTAGGGACGAAAAGGAAGCAGACCTGAAGCGAGTGCATATATATATATATATGTATATTTTTCATTCGCGCTGGTCGATGTAAATGCGAAAAATGGCTACAGAATTCGAACATTTCACGATCGCTAAAGGAAAACAACCATAACTCCTCCGAATTTCAGCGCGACGTACACTGCAAGGCTGGCACGTACCCACAACTGCTTAGACACGCAGCCAAACTACTCAGACGATTCTCCCGTGGCAAACACAATCGCACGAATGCGCATCACAGCACCATGCAATCGTGAATTAAGTGTCCAGTTAGTATACACTAGTTGAAATGGACTGCTAATCGAACGTACTACAGCGTTGCGGCGATCACTGAGTCCAGAATACGGTTCACCTTTCGCCGATTCATCCAGCAGCTTTGAGACATAGGAGGTGAGCACAGATTTGGATATGGGAAAGTCGCCTTCGAAAGGCGCTCCCAGGCAGTCGCCGAGGAGAGAGCCAACGAGGCAGCCTCGAAACTTGCCAGCCAGTGAGCACACAGAGTTGGTCACAGCGGACATTTCGCTGCGAACTTCTCTGAGACACCTCTATTCGCACTTCAGCTGGTACACCCAGTACGCCCTTGCCAAAACTTTGTGCCACCCACGGAGGACGTGGTGCCACCTTCCTTCACGCGGGCAACGGCGCGCTTCGCAGTGGTGGCCAAATTACGAACTAGGAGAGCCTCATGACGATGCCCATTGACCGTTGACCTTATTCGAGTTCCACAGACACACACTGAACAAAAGTCAATATGAAAAACATATCCGGACAATAAAATACGTGTATGAAAACGTGTATCATCGACGTAAGATTGACGCCCGTCTACCGAAACGCGTCACGGCTGTGGAGGAAGCTGTTCAAAGCGTGCGGCATAGGTGTTCTCTGGTGTGGCCAGGGAAAGGTGCGGCCAAGCGTCACAGAGAAAATTAGGCTAAAATATCCTTTCAAAATTGTCGTTACAAAGGAAAAAAAACTTGAACGCAGAGGCGAGCCAGGCACTTGGGGAACTTTGACAAGACATCAAAACATTGTCATATGAATGAATGAATAGATAGATATGGCTGTACCCGTTAGATTGGGCGGTGGCTAGCGCCACCAAGCCGTAATACTTAATGAACAAAAAACTAGATTTAATTTTTTTCCCTTTAAATAGTTATGTTAAGGATTCGTACTTTGATGTGAAGGGTTTAATTTTCACTCGTGCCTTGACTTTAGTCACCAATCAGACAACCTCCTTCTAGTTAATTCTACCCGCTTAAAGTCTATTTTGCCCTTCCTGTCTCTAAACCCCAGTGCTTTGAAAAACTCTGCGCCATCATCCTGAACTATAGGGTGAAGACCTTTACAGAACATTATCAAGTGTTCGGCAATTTCTCGTTCCTCTCCACAGGCACTGAATACCGTGTCTACCCCTTCGTAATTGGCCCGATATGTCTTGGTTCGCAATACTCCCGTTCTGGCCTCAAACGGTAGAGAACTACCCCGAGTATTATCATAGAATTTTTCCTTGGCGATTTTCTGCTTAAAAGTTCGATAGACCTCTAGTGCGGACTTCTTAATCATGCCAATTCTCCCCATATCGGTTTCCGTTTCCTTCACTTTCTTCTTAACCGATAGCTCTTTTTGGATTGGCCACCTGATGTTTTCTAAGTATTTACCAGTCAACTTCCCGGTTCGCTTCCTCCATTTTGTATCGACATTCTTCATGTGAAAGTAGCTGAAAACCTTCTTAGCCCAACGCTTCTCCTTCATTTCTCTCAATTGCTTCTCAAATTTAATCTTGCTGCTAGCTTTCCTGCCTCAAATGATGTCCACCCCATATTGCCTAGTACTCCCTGATTTGGTGTATTCCCGTGAGCTCCTAAAGCAAGCCTACCTATTCCACGTTGTTTAATTTCTAATCTTGCTTGAACTGCTGATCTCATGCATAAGACCGCATTGCCGAACGTCAGATCAGGAACCATGACCTCTTTCCAAATTCCTCTCACATCATACCTATTGTAATTCCACGGTGGCCTGTTTTTCATTACCGCTGCATTCCTGTTACCTTTAGTCGTCACGTATATTTCGTGTTGCCTTAGGTACTCGGTCCCATTGCTTATCCATATGCCCAGATATTTGTGTTTGTCTGTTATCTCTAGCATGACCTCCTGTATCCTAAGCTCACTACCTTCATTATTGTTAAAAATCATCACTGCTGATTTTTCCTACCTTAACCTGAAATCTAACCTATCTCCCTCATTACCACAGATGTCCACCAATCTCTGCAAATCTTCCTTGTTGTCGGCCATTAGCACTATATCGTCTGCGTACATCAATGCTGGTAGTGCCTGTTCAATGAGTTTTCCTTGTTTGACGAAAGAGAGGTCCCTCTAATTTTGCCTCTAATCCTTGTAGGTATATCATGAATAATAAGGGTGACAGGGGACACCCCTGCCTAAGCCCCCGTTTCACCTCTGCAGGCTTGGATGCCTGTTTTTTTCCCACTTTATAACTACCTTGTTACCTCTATAGATATCCTTTAAAAGATTAGTGACTACATCTTCCACGCATAGTGTGTCCAGTATTCCCCACAACACCTCTTGAACCACGCTATCGTACGCTCCCTTGATATCCAAAAATGCTAGCCACAGGGGCCTGTGTTCCTTTTCTGCTATTTCGATGCACTGCGTCAGTGAGAACAGATTGTCTTCCAACCTCCTGTGTTTCCGAAACCCATTCTGCAGTTCCCCCAGCACCCCCTCATCCTCTATTCATGCCTGCAGTCTTTCCTTTATAATCTGCATCGCCAGCGTGTATACCACTGATGTCACTGTTATAGGACGGTAGTTGTTTATGTCAGCTTCGTCCCCCTTTCCTTTATAGATGATGCTCATCCTGCTAAGTTTTCATCCATCGGGAACTTCACCATCAATTATTACTTTGCTCATTGCCTCTCTCTAAGCCTGCTTAGACTTCGGACCTAATGTCTTTATCAGCATAATTGGAATGCCATCTGGGCCTGTTGATGTACTACTAGGAACCATCTTCTTAGCCCTTTCAGACTCTCGTTGTGAAAATGGAACCGTTGCGCCACTTGATCCATCCTTGTCTATTGTGGTGAATAAGGCACTTCTTTGTTGAAATTTTTCTGTCACCCTTGTTCTTATATATTCGATAGCTTCGTCTCCTTCTAGCCTAGCACCTTGAGCTGTAGTTTAAACCTCTGCTCTAGGCTTGTCTCTTTTCTTAGGGAGTTTAGATGGTTCCAAAATTTCGCAGCTGCCTTTCTATCTTTTTTATCTACTTCTGCCAGCCACTGAGCTCCCTTTCTTCTAATCTTTTCATTGATCAGAAGGGATGCATCCCATCTACAGCTTAGAAAGATGTCCCATTTTCTTTCAACATCATCGGTCGGTTCACCCCGCTGCTTAGCATGTCTGTGTTCCCTAGAGGCTTCCTGACGTTTTGCTATGGCTCTCTTAACTTCCTCATCCAACCAACTTTTGGGTGTGTGTCTTCTTTTCCGGGGTGACTTGTCACGTGCCTTAGCAAGCTCTAGCTCAAACAGTCGAATTAGATTCGTGTATGTCCACACTATTTTATTATCCTCAGTGATTACTTTCTCAACTTGTTTAGTGGCTATTTCAATTTGCTTTTCTGAATAAAAATTTTCCGGTAGTTTCTCATCTTGTCTCCTTCCCACTTTCACTGCTCTTCCAAAACTTAGCTTGATACGGTTGTGATCACTACTCAGACTTCTGGAGCCACTTTCATCTATGTGCATTCCCCTGAGCGTATCATACATCCTATGTGACATCAGTGCGTAATCTTTCGTCGACTGCAGCCTTCCTACCTCCCATGTTATTTGCCCTTCACACTTCCCGGTACTATTGCAAATGATCAAATTAAGCCTGTCACACATATCCATGATCATTTTGCCTGTTGGGTCGGTATACCCATCTATCCTACCCGCCAACAACACCACTCGACGGTGGTTTTGGACAGCCAGGACTAGACGGAATAATTTCAGCTCTTTCAGAAGGGTGTGCATACAAGTACAATATAATACAAGCAGCTACAACGAACCGCACCCAGACAGAGCTAAACAAGCTACTCGCGTATATTTTCGATAACTGATAATTGATGATGGGTTTAACATCCCAAAACCACCATATGAGGCGCCGGAGGGGTCCGGTGATCTGAACGCACGGGCCTACAGCATTTTCGCCTCCATCGCAGCCGTCGAAGTCGCGGAAATTTTCAAGCATCCCCCAGATCTAAGAGCACTGTACCGGCGGCTAATCTGCCGTAGCAGATCCTTACCGGGTTTCTACGGACTAAAAAAAAAAAAAAATCAGAAGCCTGACGTTCCCCTCCAACAAACAGATTGTAGACTTCACTTCCTCAACGAGCCCTTTCGAATTCTCTACGCCGAATCTTTGCCTCTAACACCCGGACGACCCTCCGCGCAGTGGCGAAGCCGGGGGGAGGGGGGAAACCACTCGAAATTTTCCGTCCGAACCCCGCCGCCACTTACCCAACTTAATATTTTTTGTCGCTTCGCGCTCACATGATTATGAAATAAACTTCGCGCTGCTACTATCACAACATCACTCCTCGACGCTTAACATGAATATAATGTCTGCATACGGAAAAACATGTCGCGGTATTTCTCAATTGGCTTAGCCCTCTGTGAGAATTCGGTCAGGAATTTCGGCCACGAGCGTTTTAAGTTGGCGCGGATATACGGGTTTAATGCTTAAGCGGTGGTCTTACTTGTACCCACAGGAACAGATCTCGCTGGATTCGATCACTACAATAATTTTCAATAGGCAGATGTTCGTTTTAATAAAAAAATTCTGACACCATTCCAAGGTCTGATAGGACATTCAAGCATATTACAGTGTGCCTCTTCGTACGTGTCGTTAGATACACTCAAGCCAGAGAATAACTTTGCTATTGGGCTTCGCATGTTCTGCTAACACACACACACACACACACGCACACACACACACACGCGCGCGCGCGCGCGCGAGCGACAAAGTATTTGGTTTATATACCTGATATACCTAGCTTGATTGGCTTGTATGGGAGTGTACAGTAGATTTATACATATATTTATTACGCCCTAACGACTAATGGCACTCTGAAAAGTTGTCTTGACGAAGGTGCGACACAGGCAAACGTGCAGGCCATTCAGAACCTTAGAAAGGCCTACTACAATACTGATCTTGTAAATTAAGCCGGTAAATAAAAAGGTGGTGGTCATGAACTTAAAGCAGCGTAATGAAAAATGCAGTGTGGGCAGCTGTAGTGAGCACAAGCTTTATTGCTCAACACTGTAGCAAACAGCGCAAGAATAAGGAATATAAAACTGAAAAATGATACGCCAAAGTATATATATATATATATATATATATATATATATATATATATATATATATATATATATATATATATATACATGATTCATTTGTTCGTTTCTTTACATAGGCATGACTAAAAGGGCACACCGAGCAATTTCTGCAACTGGCGACATGACGCAGGACAAGAAATGCACAGAATGGAGAAATATGGGTGGGCATGTTATGGCGCAGAATTACGAGCAATATACATAATATATATTAATACACACACACACACACACACACACACACACACATATA